GGGCAAATTTGCCCCGTTTCTGTTTAGTTTTGATGCCTTAATGAATGTACTGGCACCTACCCAGTCAAAACTGTCTAGGTCCATGAAACAATAGCTCCCACAATGCAACGTGATATTTTCGCAGGAATATGTAGGCACCACGGCCACATTTGTCTCAGCGGCCGAATTGCTCCTGTGTCCGATTAAAAAAGTGCTGCTGCGTTACCGCAGAACTGCCGGTGCCTTCCCGCTGCCGTTCTGTAATGGATTCAGATGATGACATTTCTGTTTGGGCGATCTGTACCGTCCCGGTGCGGTACCGCTGCCGTTCAGTTTCCGTGCCTTTGGATTCCCAGCTTTACACTATACTTTACTATAACTATTACTGCTACTACTGCTATTAATTGCTGCTTGTAAGAGAGTTTAAAAAAACCCAATTCTGTTGACTTGCCCTCCCAGGGAAAAAGACATATTCCTTACAGCAACAGAAAGGTGCTGCAGCCCAGAGTGGAGATGCGGAGACAAGTGAACTTCCTAAGGTAGCCGTTTGATTTGTTTGTTTGTGACGTTTTGTCTTGACACTCTCAGATTGTTGTTGTAAACTGTTTTATCAGACTGGCATAATAAACAGTCTAAGCTCGCAAATAGTGAACTTGGGGGAGGGGGGGGGACGCCGAAATATTTTCATTATTACAAATTTTGCTATTGTACAACATGATATTTCAATAAAAAAGAATGTAATGTTATAAGAGCTTTGTGTGTGCTAGACTGTTATATTTGTGTTGGTTTTTAATTTCCATTTGGTCTCCAGAGAAATGATGCATGTTTCATACCCTCTTACTTCAACATAATATTCCTAGATCATAGGAGGTAGGCTGTTTCAAGGCTAATCATAGTTCTGAGAGGTACTTCATCCTTTAAGAAAGACAGACAATATTTTTAACAAGAGAATTTTCTCATCTTGCTGACTTGATAATTAGTCTGTCTTATTCATAGTGCACTTTTCATGATGTGATGTGCGTAATATTGTCATTGATTGTGCTGTGATAGTATTCATGAACGTCTGCTCATATGTTGGCGTTGACCTAAAGAGTATATATATATATTTACGTTCATACACTATGTTGTGTTATGATGAAGGTACCTTTGGAGCACTCATAACTGTATTTTACAGAGGAGGATACTAGAGAAATTATCGCTGCTTTCTTCTTTCTTCTTCTTCTAATTCATATTAAATTATTATTATATTATCAATATATCTTTTTTATTCTTGTGATCATTTATGTTATTACTTTTACTATCGTCAATATTGTTATTAGTAACATTATTATTATTTTTATTATTAATTTTATCTTTATTGTTTTTTTAAAAAAGTCTCCAATGTATCATGTTGACTAAGGTCATGTGTCGTGTGTGGTAACCAGGTGCGTCTGCCAGACAAGCTGGAGAGTGCCCTGATTGAGCAGATCGGCGAGGAGCAGAGGTCACGACAAGGTCAGAGAGACGTGAGCAAACGGTTGACCTCCAAGAAACTCACTGTGAGTATAACTTTTGTCGTATCATTATTTTTTTTCTTAGACCGGTGAAAATGTGAGGATCCACGATTGTTGATGTCTATTTCAACTATGGCTCTTGATGATGATGATGATGATGATGATGATGATGATGTTGATGATGATGTCTGCTGAAAAAAAGAAATTGTTTTATTTTGTCAGGATGTGTACGACAGTTTGTTGGGCACTGGCTTCTCCCGCACCCAGGTGGAGGCCGCCATGTCCAACTGCATCATGGGAGGAGGGGATCTCATCGACGCTCTCGACTGGCTTTGTCTCAACACTCAGAACGGTAAACTTGAGGGATATAGTGGTATTACCCACCCCTTCCCCGGCTCTCCCCAACCCTTCACCCTCTCTCCTCCCCACTCCACGCTCTCCTTTCCCCCTCCACGCTCTCCCTTCCCCCTCCACGCTCTCCCCTCCCGCTCCACTGCTCATTTGTCTTAACACTCAGAACGGTAAACTTGGGAGATATTGTGGTATAACCCTAACCCTCCACGCTTTCCCCTCCGCCTCCATGAATTCCCCTCCCCCCATTTGTCGCAAAACTCATAACGGTAAACTTGGGGGATATGATGGTATTACCAACCCCTTGACCGCTCTCTCCTCCCCCTCCCCGCTCTCTCCTCCCCCTCCCTGCTCTCCTCTCCCCTGCCCATTTGTCTCAAGACTCAGAATGGTGAACTTGGGAGATATGATGGTATTGCCTACCCTCCGCCCACCTCTCCCTCCTCCACCTGCCCCCTCCTCCACCTGCCCCCTCCATCACTCAGAATGATAAACTTGGAAGATATGATGGTATTTGTGTTGCTAGTGCCATAAAACTCGTATTTAAACTTAAAACAAATGACTATTTTTGTAGGGATGTGCTCCTTTTTACGCAAACAAACAAAAATGTTATACTTGTTTTGGTAAGAGTTTTACCGCACACGCAACCGGATTAGGTCATAAAAATACCAAAACAAACATACAATCAAACTGACGAATAGACAGCTGGACAAACAAACTAAGAAACAGACAAATAAACAGAGAAATGAAGAAACAAACAGACAGACAAACTAAAGAACAAACAACCAAACAAACAACTGTTTGTCTGTCTTTCAGACCAGCTCCCCGCAGGCTTCTCTGAGACTCTTCAGAAGGAAGAGGAGAAGAGGAGGCCAAAGTTTGATCTGTCGCTTCATGAGGAGAAAGACCTGAGGCTGGTGGCTTCGCAGGACAGTGGGGGAGAGAAAGGAGAGACGTCTAGTGGTGGGAAATCGACTCGGTCGGAGGTAGGTTTATGTGTGTTTGTGTGTGTGTGTTTGAAGGAATGGGGATGTGGTGGGGATGGGGGGTGTCAACTTATCTACTTGACTTGCTTCTATGTGTTCCCTCCCACCAACCCCCTTTATATTCATCCCGCTCCAAAACAAGTATGAAGTGCATCTTGTCTGAACACAAAAAGCAAACGTCTAATGAATATATCTCCCTCCCCCAGACACCCTCTGCCAAAACAGACAAAGGAGGAGGAGGCGGAGGAATGAAAAACTGGATCCTCCAGTACGCAGAACAAAGCTCGGAGGAGGAGGAGGAGGAGGAAGATGAGGGAGGGGACGCGTCTTCCTTTAACCCGGTAAGTTTGACAAATATTATTTGTGGTGAAAGCTTTTATTTCTTGTCAAGACTGACAAGTTGTGTGAGTAGGTGGTTGGCGGTTGCTCTGGTGTGGTTTGCTTCTTCTTTCCTATCAAACATCTATCGTCCTTATCTCCCCTTCTTCTTTTTATATGTTTATTACTCTCTTGTAACACCTCTAATCTTCTGGCGCTCATATGACCTTATGCAGTTGCGAGCGCCGTAAAACCTCTACTAAAACTTAAACTTAAAACATCTATTCTCCTTATCTCTCCTCCTTCTTTTTTGTGTTTGTTACTCTTTTGTAACACATCTAATCTTCGTCACTTATTTGACCTAATTGTGTTGCAAGTGCATAAAACTCTTACTAAAACTCTCTTTCTGATGCTGTCCACAGACAAAGCGTTATGCTGACCTTCACCGTCAGCTACAGGAAGTGAAGAGCCAGGCAGCCATTGCGAAGAGTTCTGGAGCCACAGAGAAGCATAAGACTCTGTCAAAACAACTGAAAGAGATGCACATAGGTACAACACGGATGATGATTTTTTCTTTCGTGTGATTATCACAGAATCCGTCTTCAAAACAGTTATTGTTCTCAGCATTTCTTTTCTGTTTCACCCCATATTTCAGCTCACATATGGTAATTTTTAAGCTCAAGGGGGCTATCTCGAAAAATGCTGTTTTGAAAAAATTGAAGGTAAAGTTTTTGCCCCTTGTTCAGTTCCTTTTAAAGACAAGGAGAGTTTTCTCTATAACCCAACAAATACACACACCAATGAAACCAAACTTCTTCTACAGGTAGGGCAATGCCCACTTTTGGTGAATGTCAAGATTTCTGGAAACCCCCAAAATCTGGGTTAGCCCGCTTGTCCTTAAAAGCGACCATATGACCTTATTGTGTTGCAAGTGCTGTAAAATGTTAACGAAAACTAAAACACCTTGTTTGATGTGCGTGTTAACTGTATATTTGTGTGTGAATGCGGCGTCGTAAATTTTCAGTTTGTTCTCAAAGTGTCAGTGACGTCCCTGATACAAATAGGTTTAGTTATCAGTAGACGAAACACACATAGGTGTTTAGGTTCTATTTTCAGTAAGTCAGAACCCCGGCTTGTGAGAGACAATAAGTTATTGAATGTCTATGCTGACAAGTGAAAGGAGAGTGAGAAAGAAGTAGAGATGGAGAGGGAAGGGCAGAGAGAGAGAAGTGGTTTTGGAAGGGAGGGTGGAGGGAGAAGGAGAGTGAGTGGGAAATAAAAATAGAGAGAGAGGAGATGAGGCAAGAGAGTGTGAGGGACATTGTGTGAATCATTCTTTTTTCTCACAAAGACATTTGTGCCCCCCCCCCCT